CTACCAGATGAAATGAAAGGGTGCTGCCAAATGAGAATGACTGCTGCTTTCAGAAACCAATCTTAGCAAATTTATATGGCTAAGACCAAAGCTACTTTTAACTTTTCACCACTTGTATTTTTCATTTTGTTCTGAAATCCTCAACTTTGATTCTTACATCACCTCTGTTTTTAATTCTCAGAAGTGGTGTAAGCAGCAGCATTTTCTGATTCCTATTGAACAAACCCCTTCATGAGCCAAAACTGCAGAATCAAAGTACTGTAAAGGATAAACAACCAGAGAACAGGCCCTGGGGAGACAGCCATAAGGTTCCAATCTACAATCCAGCAGGGGACCAGAGTCCTGAGGGGCAGAGTGCTGGGGGCGGGGCACAGGAGCACAGTTCAGGCCTTCACTTCTTACTTCTTTCCTTACTGTATGCAGAGTCTCCTAGAAACTGGAAGGATCTTAATCATCATCTAATCCAGGCTTCTTAAGGCCAAGAGGAGTTAAAGAACTTGATGCAAGATACAAGTTGGTGAGGGATCAAGGCAAAATTGGGTCCAGGTTTCCTGGCCAGCAGTAGCCTCTGTGACGGGAAGCAAGGATCTCTAACTTGGAACAGCCACCTGCTCTGCTTTCCTAGGACCCAGTCGTGGATAAAGTTGACCCATGTTCTGTTATTTTGGCTCCTGGACTGGGTTTTCTCGGGTCCTATTTCCCTATATCTCATTTAGCTTTTGCAATGATACTAAATTGTACATTTTCATTGTACACTCACTATAAGAGTTTCATTTGTGCCACAGCTTAGCAGATGTTTATTGATCACTTATGACATACCAGCTGCAGACACAGCTATAGGCTCAGAATGGGACTATGGTCATGTGGCCTTTACACTCTGGTGAACACAGTTTTACATAAACACATATATGCATTTGGACATGGTAGAGCACAAAAATAAATGCAGTGCTTTTTCATATTAAGCTAGAGTGACTGTATCCAATTACTTGAGAGGTTCTTTTTTTGCAGTAGTATTTGAATTCCTGGGGTCAGTTTTTTAAAATTCTTATTTTTACTTCAATTGACCCATTGTAATTTCATGTATTTATGGGGTACAGTGTGATAATTCAGTACGTGTGTATAATTTGTAATGATCAAATTGAGATAAAGTTTCTTAAAAAAATAGTTTTAGAATAGTGTTGAGTTTATAAAAAGTGGGTAAAGATAGTATAGAAAATTTCTCCATATTCCATGCCATTTCTCCTATTTCAGGGGTCCACTTGTTAGGACTAACAGATCAATGTTGATACAGAGTTTTGCCTAAATTCCATATTTCATGCATTTTTTTTTTTCTTAGCTCTTACTTAGTGATCCCATCCAGACACCAGATTCAGTCATGGTGTCTCCTTTGTTCCTTCTGGATGGTGGCGGTTTCTTAGCATTCCCTTAGTGTTGATTCAGGATGGCCTCCAGTTTGCCTGACCTTCTTCCTGGGGTGGGAGGTCGAGAGTGTTTGGGAAGAAGGGTAGGGTCCTTCTGTCCTTAGCCTTGCTCTTTGGCTGTGGTGGTCTTTGCCTTTACAGTAGAGTTGCTCTTCCCTCCCTGAACTCTGGGGAAGGAAGTCACCATGCAACGGTTCATGTCTCAGGACGGGGCCTTAGGGTTTCCACCATCTCCTGGAGGGAGTCATGTCTGTGTAAATTATTTGTTTTTTTAGTGAGAAATTGGTTTATTGTCCATTTCGTTTTTATTTTTATGTTACTAGGGATAGAACCCAGGGGTGCTTTACCACTGACATCGCCTTTTCTTATTTTGAGATAGGGTCTTGCTAGGTTGCCCAGGCTGGCCTTGAACCTGTGATCCTCCTGCCTCAGCCTTCTGAGTCACTGGGATTACAGGTGTGTGCCACTGCACCGGCTCTCCACTTACTGTTTTTTAATCTAATCACTTATTGGTGTGTATTCAGGTACTCTTTACATTATCATCTGGTGTCGTGTTCTTGTGTGGCCGATGGAGGTCTGGTTGGCTCCTGAGCCCTCTGACAGAACCCTGTCCAGGTGTTTCCTTCAAGGCCTTCATGGTGTGGCCCGTGTGGTGCTGCAGTCCCATTACACTTTCTACTCCAGCCTAGAACAAGCCCTTTCTCCCAGGAGGCCGGCTCCTTTTTGTGCTCGTTGGCACCCAGGTCTTTGCTCAAGCCCTGTCAGCTGGCCGAGCGGGAAGCATGTGCACAGCTGTGCACCTATCCTCAGAGGCTCCTGCATCCCACCTCTGGATCTGTGTGAACTGAACGCCAGTTGGCTCTTCCTCACGTCTTCAACCCCAGTCCATTAGTGCCCGTTAGGATTTTGGCGATTGCCACCAGCTCTTAGGATCAGGTTTTCATATGTATAAATATGTCACATCACTTAATTTTCTTGTTGAAAGTTCAAGTATAGTGGGCTGGGGTTGTGGCTCAGTGGTAGAGCGCTTGCCTAGCATGTGTGAGGCACTGGGTTCGATCCTCAGCACCACATAAAAATAAATAAAATAAAGGTACATAACAACTAAAAAATATTTAAAAAATGGAAATTTCAAAGTATACACTTACTAGAAAAACCAGATCAAACTATTTTAAGTGTTAGGTATACTTTCTCATATTAGGTTCTTCTTTATTCAGATACCCAATACCAAGGGGTTGAACTCCCAGTACCATCTTAAAATCATTTTCAGTGTTAACAAAGGATTATTGGGCCCCTTCTAGGACTCTGAGCTGAGCTGGTGGTGTGGACAGACTCTGGAGAAACCTTGAGGTGTTGCCTACAACTAAAACAAGGACCTTGGAGCTGGGGTTGGGGCTCAGAGGTAGAGTGCTCACCTCACATGTGCAAGACCCTGGGTTCAATTCTCAGTACCACATAAAAATAAATAAGTGAAATAAAGGTATTGTGTCCAACTACAACTAAAAAGTAAATATTAAGGAAAAACAAAACCAAGGATCTCCACATTCCTTTTGGGGTTCCTTCCCTTTTAGGCTTAAGAATAATGGTGCATTGGTATCACAGTTCATAACACATTTTCTAGCATGCCCAATTCATGAGTACTTGTCAACATTCAGTTAGCATTAGTAAGAGGGGAAGAAGACTAAGGGATGTATCTGTAGACAGTGGGTGCTCAGTAAGTGCTCATCTGCGTTGGACATGTAGTATTCATGTGAACCTGTGCAAAAAGGATTCCTGCTCCTTCTGTAAGATCTTTTCCACCCGTGGCCATGCCCTTCTCAGCCATAGCCAGTCTAATGTTCAGGCACAGGGACTCCAGTGCCACTCATGACGTGGGTTTCTCTCACACTGCACTTTCCCTCGTCAGGAGACCCTTTCCCTCTGTCTTCCAGATCCAGAAGTTCCTTATACCTAAGTTCCTTACACCACCGCCACCTAAGCCTCCCTGCTCTCTGCTTGTGTTGGACTGCCCCTGGCCTCTATTTTGGCCCCCTGTGGTTTTGGTGGTGAGGGTAATCCTGGAAAAGTCAGTTCATGGCACTTTCCTTCTCCAAAGCCCAGCAGCCTTTCCTTTTCCCACGGATCTTCTAAACTCATTGGCTGCTGTTCCCATCTTGCAGCCCTCTGCTTCCTCTGGTCCAACGAGCTGCCCACAGGCTCTTCAGGTGTGGAGTGTACAAAGTGGTCAGCAGCCATGAATTAAGGGATCCCAGTTCTCAGGCCCACATAAAACCAGGTCTTGAAAGCAAGGCACATGCTGTGGCAGGCCCTCAGAGGCCACTCACCCACCTCTCTTCAATGCTCCTCCGAGACCTGCATTTTCTGAAGTTTGAAATGGTGAACAAACCCTGTGACGAGGAGAAGAGCTCTGTGCATGTGTCAGAGGGTCAGAGAATCACATTGCACAGTCAGCTCACAGGGACACTGTGGCGGCAGCCACTCAGGACTGTGGAGACTTAGAAGGCAGAGGCTGAAAACTGCATTTTCATTGGACCACTTTTCTTGAGATGTTGGCTCTATTACACATTAAAAAATAATGCAGTTTGTTATCAAGTATGAACTTGTTTAGTGAATTTACTGAGTAAGTTTACATTGTGGACAAAGTACAGATGCAAATTTCCCTTCCCTCCACTGATTTTTTCAGAGGTACAACTAGCTTTTGTAAACTAAAAAAACAGTTTGTTGGTTCTCTGATGTATTTACTTAGTTCCTGGTATTGTTTCTTTTCTCTGAAATACTAGAAACTGGCTCAAAAGGCAAATGTGACTGGCAGGGTGCGAACTTAGGCCAAAAATTGTAGGGAGTGCCATTCAGCAAGGGGGACCTCCAGGAAGTGGACAGCAGAGTGAGCATGTGACTGGGAGATGCTGTTAAGTCCCCCTCTGGGGAATGCCTGCAAGGCTCAGTGCTGACCTGTCACATTATTTTATAACTTCTATGACTTTTGCTTTCTTTTTTAATTTCACTTTTATTCATGATCTTAAACCTGGAGTAAACAAAGGGGAAGACATTTATTCAATGACAGAAAACAACAAACTAACAAATTGACTTCAGTTTACACAAAATGCATATATTCGTCTGTTTCCTGTTGCTATGGTGAAATACCTGGGGCTGGGTATTCATAAAGAAAGGAGGATTGTTTGGCCTCCTCTGCTGGAGGCTAGAGTCCTGGGCTCCTCAGTGTGCTTCTTGCCACTGGGCGTGTCCCTCCTTGGGCATCCTGTCTGTTTTGTGTGTGGGAGTTTGGGCCTGAACAGTGTGGTTCCTGTTCCATCCGAGTGGTCTTGCAGCTACCCCTCACCTTTTATTTCGGGAGGAAAGGACAGGTCCTTGAACTCATCCCCTTGCAGAAATGTGCTGGCTGCGCCTTGCTGACAGTCTGCGTCCTGACCTGTGTGCCCTGCAGAGCTGGCTCTGACACAGTTTGGCCTACTGAGTCTTGCTCCCTTGACTGCCCTGCTGAACCCAACCAAGTCCACTGCTGCTGGCTGGACAGACAAGACACTATCCTATCATGAATATTCAACATGAAAAAAATAATAACAAGTAATTCTTCCTTTATTTTTCAGAAATGTGTTACGGACGAGTGTTTCTTTTTTGAACGACTGGAATCAAATAACTACAATACTTACCGGTCAAGGAAATACTCCAGTTGGTATGTGGCCCTGAAACGAACAGGGCAGTATAAACTTGGATCCAAAACAGGACCTGGGCAGAAAGCTATACTTTTTCTTCCAATGTCTGCTAAGAGCTGATTTTAATGGCATAATCTATCTCATTTCACAAGAAAGAAGGAAGCATATTTTAGAATCTGTTAAGAGAAAAAAAAATTATATACAGCACGGTTTAGATAACGTGTCAGATAGCTTTTTATCTAATATTTAACCATTGCCTCAGTAAAGAAACACAACAAACAATTATAGAAAATGTGTAAACTTTCCCCTTTTATATAGCATCTGCTGTTACTCAAAGAAGATTACCTAGATTATGTTTTTCTTATATTTATATTATTTGAAAAGATTTTGAAGTGTCTTTACATGTGAATTTTCAACAAGGAAATCATAGGCATTAGAAAATTACCATCAAATATTTAATAATCCCAAGTGTTCATGACATTTTATTATCTGGCATATATTAATCAACATTGACAGTTTCCTTAAAATTTTCAACACATGTCGGTGTGGATTCAGTGCGCTCCTGTCACAGTGCACACTTCTCTGGCAGTTCCCTGTGATAGAGCTTATAGAGCAGGCCTGTAGACGCTGCCGGAAGCTCCTCCACGGTGAGGTCTACCTTGTCAAACCCTTCTCTGTGCCCGTAGAGCAGCAGCCTGGCCACTCTGCTGGTGATAGGAGTTGTGTTTCCAGCCCTGACCAGGTCCACCAGGTCCATCCACTCGCACCTGAGACACTCCTGCGGGCAGCAGTTGATGGTGAAGGAATGTGGCTGGAGGCGGCAGATGATGTACATATCTGACTTCCCGAAGGCTGTGGGAAGGCTGTGCTGCTGTCGAATACTCAGGAGGGACCTGAATTCTGACTTTATACCAGTCTCTTCAAAAACTTCTCGAACTGCTGTATCTCCTACATAGTACAGATGTGCAGATTGTAAGGATCACCATTTTAGACACATCATCTTTGAAGATTTGTAGTTAAAATCTCAAAGTCCAGAAGCAAAACCTTTGGCTGGCTGTTTTCAATACTAACTCTAACTTCTGGATGTCCTGAAATACCAAAATTATTTCACTACTTTACACCTGAGATGCTTTTGATATATTGACTATTTCTTTGGCTGGTTGCTAACTAGAGGCTTATTCACTTTTTTTTTTTTTTTTAGGGTTACATCTTTTTAACCTCTTCCTGCTCTGTTTCCCAAAAGGTAAAAGCATAGGTTGCAAAAGTTAAAACATGTTGCAAAGGTGCAGATAATACTTGGACATATATCTTCATTATTATCTTGTTCCTGATCGTCCATGAAAGCTGCCTAAAATTACATATTGCAGAACTGAGCAGAAGTGGTCTGTTCTTCCCTAAAAGTCCACAGAACTGAAAAATGGGTCAAGTGAACTATGAAATATCTGATTTCGCCTGGTGATCCCAGGTGGGACTGTCAAGCCTCTGGTTACCGAGCAAATGCCTTGTGACCATTTTGTTATGCTTCTCCAGTAATGTGGCAGTAAGATCCCACTGCAGGAAATTTTGGCATTGCCTTTGTTTCCTGAGATAAGACTTCAAAGAGCTTGGTCTCAGTCCTTTAATACCAAAAGGCAATAGATGTTCATCAGTTTTCAAAAGGCTAGGGACACATAAAATGTATCATATAGCCAGATGTGGTGGTGCACGCCTGTGATCCCAGCAACTGGGGAGGCTAAGGCAGAAGGATCCCAAGTATGAGGCCAGCCTCAGCAACTTAGCAAGTCCCTTTCTCAGAATAAAAAAGAACTGTGGGGCTGGGGTTGTGGCTCAGCGGTAGAGCACTCGTGAGGCCCTGGGTTTGATCCTCAGCACCACATAAAAATAAATAAAGATATTATATCCAACTACAACTAAAAAAAATAATTATTTAAACAAAAATAAAATAAAAAGAACTGGGGAATGTGGCTCAGTGGTAAAACACCCCTGTGTTTGATCCCCAGTACTAAATATATAAATAAACTACGTTAAAAATTTATAACATAATAAGGGCCTTCATATTCTAGAAGGTTAATTTTTCAACTAAATGCAAAATTTCTGTGGTAGGATTTTTATTACTATTACCATATTTTTGTGGTGTGTTTCCTGAATATCCTGAAAGACCACCTAAATTGTCTCTGGAAGCATCCATTGGAAGCCCTTAAAGAGCTGCCTTCCTTGACGGCTTCTCTGGGAGGCTCACTTGCCAGACAGGCTGTGGTTCAGACACCTTGAAGTGCCTTCACTATGTGGTCAGTGACTTTGCCTTCTTAGTAACTCTTTTGGTAAAAAACAGCAAAGAAGAGGAAGCTGTGAAGAGCAGGCCCCCCTGCTTCTCTGGTCCTCTGCTCCTCTTCAGTGCCCTGGATGTGCTCCCCACACGCAGGAAGAGTACAGCCTTCTCAAGTTAACCTATGACTTCCCATACTGAGATCTGCCCATAGTCTCAGCATGACTAGTTTTACATTTTAAAACTGAAACCACTGAGGCGGGGGTTGTGGCTCACTGGTAGAGTGCTTGGCTGGCATGTGCAAGGCCCTGGGTTCAGTCCCCAGCACTGCAGGGAGAAGAATGTGGAGGTGGTGGGGTTACAACTGAAGGCGTAGAAGAATAATCTAGGTTAAAAAAAATTCCTTAGTATGAAACTTTAATCTGTATACAGTATATATTTGTTATTAAAGTGATTATTAAAGTTGGTGGCACTGATCTTAAAATTTTAGATAATGCCCCTAACTCTTGTTCATATCTGTACTTTTATTCTTTAAATGCTCTGAAAAATATCCTGGGGACTCTGTCTAGCTCCTAGTAGCACTAATAAGAAGCTGGGTACTGAGCTCATGAGTTCAGGCCGTCTGCAGGCCCAGAAAACACAGGGCAGGGTGCTGAGCAGGCTGTCCTGCTTGAAGTCAGTCAGCACTGCCTGGAGAGTTCTGACCAGTCTCACAGTAGTACCATCACTGACCACTTTTGAAAATGGAAGGGCAAACAAGTGCTTCCACCTCTGGACTTTTGGAGACCCCTTCCACCTCAAGATGAAAATCTCTTCCTCAAGGATTTTCAACATGAATTTAATTTTTTTTTTTATCAAGATCAAGTGACTTGTTCTGTTGTGCCTTTAAAGTTATTTTAATATACTGTAACCTCAACTGAAGTAAGATATACTATTTGACAAGTGTGAAGAACATAGGAAAAACTAGTAAGCTTTTGTTTTTATTTTTGCTGATTAAGAGATGTGGGTAGCTGGGCGTGGTGGTGCATGCCTGTAATCCCAGCAACTTGGGAGGCAAGGCAGGAGGATCACAAGTTCAAAGCCAGCCTCAGCAATTTAATGAGACCCTGTTCAAAATTAAAAATAAAAAAGGTCTGGGGATGTGGCTCAGTGGTTAAGTGCCCCTGAGTTCAATCCTTGGTACCAAAAAAAAAAAAAAGAAAAAAAGAAAAAAAAGAGGTGTGTTTGAATATGTCATCGTAATGTTTTGTTGTTTAATTACAGGACAGTGATGAAATGGAGTTTATACTTGTTATTTCTAAATTGTAATATTTAATAATAGGGCGAGGCTGAACTGAAATGAAGTAATAGGAAGAATTCTGTGGAATGTGGGCTTTCATGGCTCTGGTGCACTGATAATCTTTGTGACTACAGATCGACAGAGGAGATGGCATTCCCAGGACGGCAGTGTGTCTATTTTAACCTCACAGATGCCTTTATACCACAGCCTGGAGGACTGCATTCTACTTTGTATATGGCCCTCTTACTTTCTGAAACACTACAGAGAACTCTGTTTGCCTCACGTAGTATCACCAAAGAATGAAAGATTCCAAACAAACACATTTCCCAGTTAATCAGTGTATTTACTGGGACTCAACAAAGAGTCCAGTCTGCAGCCAAATAGAAGTGTTTGTATGTATGTGTGATGGAAGTATTCCTACAGTATGTTACTTTCCTGAATGTAGGGTTTAAAGAAAATAATCTACATAATGTTTGGATGATTTGGCTTCATTATCAAGAATATTCTCTTGTACTGTTAGAAAACAGAAATACCCTCACACAGACATCTTTCAGACCTCTACTGTCAGGGGTCATTTCTAGCTGCTCTTGGGTTTTATCACATAGCTTAATTTATACTACACCCAGGTAGGAAGGTGACTGACAGTTGCTGCTTTTTTTCTTATTCCACATGACTGAGGTATGTGTGTAATCTCTGGATGGTGGAGTGTGATAACCACAAATACTTTTGAAAAGTGCATTTTTAATTATCTTGACTTAAAGGTTCTGGATTATACTTAAACCTAAACTTAATGTATTTAGCTTTGAAATGTGTATTTCTTCATTTATATTTATATGTAAGTCTGACATTCAAAGGATCCATGAAAGTTCAAAGGAAAATAAAATGGATTCATTTGTGAAGGCAAGCCTCAGAAGGGGAAGCCACAGAGGCTCTCCAGACGTCCCCCAATAACCAGGATAAGAATGCAGGGCGTGGCTTCCCTAGTTCCCACCATGCCCAGGCCTCACGCGGATGGTGATCAGAATAGGGTAGCCTCGCCGAGTAAATGGCCTTCTCTTTTAGTGCTCACTCCTCAACAAAATACTCCTATGCCACCAGCGCACCTAGCAGAACCTAAGCAAAAGGTCAGTAAGTTCTCCAACCCAAGATCTGCTGTAGACACCCCTGAGTGTGATCAGTTCACTGGAAGATTGTTAGGAGTTGGCTATACAAGGCATAGAGGGCATTCTGATCTGTAATAACACTTAAAAATCAAGTTTCAAGAACACACACATTGTAATTTTTATAGTAACGGGGGGGATTTAACCTGGGATGCTCTACCCCTGAGCCACATCCCCAGACCTTTTTATTTCGAGACAGTTGCTTAGGGCCTTGCTAAAATGCTAAAGCTGACCTCAAACTTGAGAACTTCCTGTCTCAGCTTCCAGAGTCGCTGGGATTACAGGTGTACATCACTATGCCTTGACTTTAAATAAAAGTAAGTTCAGTAAATTGCCATAATGTATTCTTGACTAAAGAGAATAGGGGACATGCATGTTAAGGAAGAGGTCTTGGAGAAATAATGTTAGTATCAAATGAAATTTTTAGTGATTAGGATGACACTGAATTTGATCCAATGGCTTAAGCATAGACAAGAAAATTATTTTTATTCTTTTGTTTCCTATAAATTAGTGGCATAGAGAATTCTCAGATTAGTTCCTATTTCTGTGTGTTAAATGTTGAGCTCAGTAAGTTATTTTAGGGAGCTATTTCTCATTTGAGACTTTCTCATGATATTTTACTGTTCTGGCTTCCTACGTACTCAAAATAAATAGTAGATAAAATTCTTATAAAGAGAAGAATTACATCATTTTAGCTGTATAACTGACTTTATTATATTGATTCAATGTTAAATTTAAGTTATTATTCACCTTTCTGTGATATAATGGTCCAAAATTTGTGTTTTCTTGTAGTTTAACTCCAATATCAATTTTAGTCATATTCAGAATAGCCCTTAATGCTAAGCTTTACTCAAGGATACCTAAAGATTTCATACAAATTAATCTAGAGACAGTCCTAAACAGGTGTTAAGTTCCTAATGGTATTCCTCAAACTAACGGAATAAATTGAAATGCTAGAAATGTTGCTGCTAATTTTATTGAATTAGTAATCTCTCTGACTTGGTCTGAAGAAATTAGAAAATTTACATTCTTATTCTTCGATACAGAGCAAGATAAAGTAAGCACATGATTTCCTCAGTATTTTCAAGCTACTTATAATATGTAAGATACATACCAATATCTTCTCCAGGCTCTGACAGGCCTCCTGGAAACTTCCACATATTTTTCATCTGCAACATCAAGCAGAAAAAAATGTTTACGTAGCATTTGTTCAGTAACACACAGACGCACACACCTGCAGGTGCCAAAACACCCAGCGCTGGTCCAGGCAATGAGAACTCACTTTTTCCAGTTTCCTGTTCCTCTCCTTCCCTCCTTTGCTAAGGAGCTAGTGAGTTATGAAATCTTTCTCCACCTTTTTCTTCAGGAAATAGAAGTAATTTTATTTGGTTAATGTGATAAAATTTGTATTAATGAAACTTTGGAGGGAAATATCTACTACATTTGTGTAATTTAAATTTCGCTGCTAGTTAACTATGAACAAATAGGAGAATCTTACAGATGCTGCTATAATTAAGTAGAAAGCACAGAATAAATGTAATCACTAAAGGATGCTATTAATTTTCATATCTATTTACTGTATTGTATTTCTAATCAGACATACTACTCTTAAGATTCTGTTGTCTACATTCATAATTTTATGTAAAAATGTAATTGCTTTTCATGGGTAGTATGAATAAAATTGATCAGATGTGTTTTCTGTCTATCATTTCTTTGTGTTTTCCCAGAACACTGCTTTTTCTGGTGGGGAGGGGCAGGTAGGAAGCTCTGACCATTGGGATAGCATAGAGTAACTTAGAAATAGACCACAGGTGATTATGAGATGGCATGACAGTGTTCCTGTGGCTGTCAGGATTGCTGTTTCCTTTCAGAGCTCTGTTCTATGTATCCATCCCCACAAGGAAGCTGAAGAAGGGCCAGCACTCTGTAGACTCTTCACGCACAGAAGGAGCTGTGGCCCTCCTGCTGGCGAGCTTGGTGGCCCACGCATTTCCTGAGGAGAGCTTCCCCAGGATGTGTCACTTCCTAATCATGCCAGCTTGGACACCAGTGGCAAGGTTCCCGGGGCTTCCCAGGCTGCTGGTTAAGTGGGTACAGCGTTCAGGCCGCCCACCTTTCCGCATCTGGCTCAGGCAGGCTCAGTGTTGGTTTACAAAGTAAATTATGCTTCACTTTATTAGTGCAGAGAAACCATCTCCGAGTCTCTACCTCAGTACACTGTCCTGGATTCCACTTCAAAATAGTTTCTGTAGCTTTTCTTCTGTAGAAACTTCACAGGCTTTTGTCTGACCACCAACATAAATTCTATCTGCAGCAGCAAAACATGTTATGACTGGGTAGACAAATGTTTAAAAGAACAATAAAAGTCAACTTTCAAAATCTTTGCCTAGACTTGACTATAAATGATTGGAGACTCTATCATATTTGGAGACAGAAACTTGTCAGAAGGAGGAAAATGCTGGACAGAAGGATTGAAAACAGTTCACACAAATCTGATTTTTAAATAAGGCTTCAGTAAGATCAGGTATATTTTATGCTGTTAAATAGGTGTGACACTTCCTGATATCACTTAGGTTTAAAGAGCTTATTTTAAAAAGTTTCCTTCTCCCAAAGTATGGGTTTTTGAGGCTGGGGTCTAAGTGGTAGGTGGAGAGGCCTGAGTCATGTGGTTTTAAAATGTTTGAGCAATAGCAAGGCAGGCAGATCTTCCCATTCTCTTTATATTAAAACACTCAACAGGGTTAGTAATGTTAAAATAATGCTAAAATATTAGCTAGTGTGTACTGAATGCTTTCCACGTTCTAGACACTCTGCTAAATGTTCTTGCAAGAATTAACACATCTAAACTGCACAGAAATCCAACAAGAGTCTGCTATTCCCAATTTAGAGGTGATAAAGATTAGTCACTGGTCTGGAGTCACAGCTAGTGTGGGTTCAAGTCCAGGCAATTTGATTCTAACCATTTCTTTTAAGAAATTTGAAAAGCTGATTTGAGACTTCTCACTAATACTTAGCTATGTGGTTTTTCATACACCTCTGGTCTTCTCCTCATACTAACTGGAATATTTTGTGTACATCCAATCAAAATCTATATCTTAGACCTGCACTCCCCTAGTATATGTGAATTTGGATTAAAACTGAGGGCAGTGTTGAATGTGTTACCTGTTGCCTGTGATATTACCTAGCAGTGATTTATTATTATTCTATCTTTCTAACTTCTTTCATGAGGGAAAAAAAACTACTGAGGATAAGTTTGGAAGATTTAGTCTCCTTGAATTGGCTACATTTTAAATCTTTGTTTTCTTTTCCTATACAAAACATCTCTAGGATTCCAAGTATAAAATTCTACTGTACTTAATTCCCCGATCGTCATAAAAGAACTTTCCACTCTCTTTTAAAAAAAATGTTTTTCTCAAATGTTCTTGTGCCTAGAAGCTCTGTTTGAACTACTCAATCTTCACAACTATGACCCCCTCCCTGCTTTAGGTTGGTGAGGTCATCTAGGTCCTTAAGCATACCAGAAAAGGTAAATTATCTTTTTAAACTTATTAAAATGTATGATTTCAAACAATACTAGAGTAGTTCTGTCATAATTTGGAATGGTGGTAGGAGGACAAATTTTCTTATGCATTTGCTAGTTACAAATCTGATGTGTCAGGCTGGGATTGTGGCTCAATGGTAGCGCACTTGCCTAGCATGTGTGAGGCACTGGGTTCGATTTTCAGCACCACATATAAGTGAGTAAAATAAAGGTCCATCAACAATATATAAAAATTTGATGTGTGTGTGGAAAACAGAAGACTGTAGGAGAGGTAAGGATGGTCTCCTGGATTCCTTTGCAATCCTCCCCTTCCTAGAGTCAGTAATTGCAAGTTCAGGAACTGGGCATTTCAGGTGTTGACAAAAGGCACTCTGCTAATACATTTTTCACTGATACTAACAGAAGGTTAGATACTTTCTCTGCAATTTCAAATTTAAGAGTGCTGTTTCTTTTACATTTGTCCTGAAGATAAACTCAAATCTATTTTAAGGTTTTTAGGATAGGTGAAAGAGCATGCTTCATTTTCTGATCCCTTTTTCTCACTAGTTTCTTAATTCCATAGACATTTTCTGTTTTCCTGAGCAGAGGCTTAGCTTTGGGACATTGTTCCCTGGATATGGTTCCTGAAATCCTAACCAGGAGTTTCTGTAACAACAACCCCAAAAGACTACTAATTTCTTTTTTCTTTGTTTCTTTTTTCTTGGTATAGGGGAATCAGACCCAGGGCCTTGCACACAAGCCTCTACCAATGAGCTGTAACCCCAACCCTTTAATAAAAAAAATTTCTTTTGAGACAGGGTGTTGCAGTGTTGTACGGGCTGGTCTTGAACTTGAGATCCTCCTGCCCCAAGTCCCGGTAACTAGGATTACAGCTATGCACCGCCGTGCCTGGTTTACTAATTTCTTTCAGTCATATCTCAAGAACCTGGAACAAGGGCACAGACTTGCTTGCCTCTTTCCTTTGGTTCTCTTGTATTATTTTAACTTCTTGTTCTGCCTTTATTCCTACCTGGCTAGATACCAGAAATCTGGTTATCTTTTATCACCACTGTCTAATCTTGACTCCACCATACTCACTTTCTAGGATTTGAACCTGGTGTATTGAGATTAATCTCATTATCTACAATATTATAATCACCAATGACTTGGAAGCTACCATCAAATCTCTCATAGTGTGGCTGATTCATTCAACAAAAATTTTGAGTGCCAGCTGCTAGGTGTACAGAAACTAATGTATAATATTGCAAACTGGTCATTCTCTTTATCACTGCTGTTTATTTTTTGAGTAACACATCTCCATCTTATGTTTTCATTTTAATATTTGTATCAATGTATTTGACTGTTAGCTCCAGATGTAGAAACTCTGCATTGTTTACTAATTTATGCCCAGTGCTTAAAAGGTCATACAGCACCGTATGAAAAGGAACCCAGTAATATTTAATAAATCAATGAATAGGCCCCTAACCTGAACACAATTTGTTAGCACTCAATTTGTAAGGTCAAGCCACTGGTAGATCTTTTTATTACTCAAAGCCATGGGGTTGGGAAGGAGAAAGGACACACTTTAAATGTCCCGTTAGGTCTGTGTTTTGAGTGTGTGCATATAATCATTCTGAGGGTACATTTTTTCTATAAAAAACACTTCACAGGCCTAGGATGTAGGTTAGTGGTACAGCACTTGCCTAGCATGTGCAAAGTCCAGACTCAAACCCTAGTACCACACACATGCTTTTAAAAACAAAACAAAAAACTGTAAAGGAGAAAACTGGCTTAAATGTCTGAAAATAATTCTAATTATTTATAATATATAAAATTTATTAATAAGTACTTGTTCAATTATGTTTAAATTCCATCTAATGCCAAAATACAGTAAATGATTCCTTTTCTCACTATTTTTTGTTGCTAAAATAGACATCCATACTTCATTTGCATATTTTGTTCTTAAATGGATCACTGCATATAACTTAAAAAAAATCAAAACTCTATTTAAAATTATCATTCCTACCTGCTCTGCAAAGAAACCACTATTTTAACATAATTTCATCTGCCTAGCTTCTACCAGTGCCAGTGTCTTACGAATGTGGGGGGAACGTGAAAACCTGACTAAATCTGAAGCAGCACTTTCTCAAACTGATGACTGGCAGGTCTGAACACCAGCAGAATTTGGAAGCCCAAGTTGCTAGCTCAGCTGCTCTCAGACTTTACAGCACAAGCACCTGGAGGCTGACTGCTGGGCTCCCCCCTGCAGAGCAGCAGAGTCCACAGGTGGGGTCTTCTGTCAGTACCCAGCCTGCCCTTCCGTACCTGCTTCGTGATGCTGGCACAGGGCCTCTGTTAACCAGTCTCTGCACTGCCAGCTGACTCCCTTTCAGGCTCCACCAACAAACTCCAAGTCTGGAGAAGGGTGACGGTTATTTCCTGTACTCTCCTGTGCTGTGGTTCCTGGGCGCACCATTCCTGCAGTCTGCTTTGCTGCCAGCAGTTCTTTCCTAGTATCAGCAAAATCCAGTTTGCAGTTTTCCTCACATCTGGCAGACACCAGGACTGGGTAAGTAGCACTTCCTGTGAGGGATTTTGAGTTTGGGTGATGTGTCTTCCCAAATGGAGGGAACCACAACCCACCAGAATGACATAAGTTACATTGAAGACATCTGAGATACAGCAGATGGCAAATGAGACATTTTCTGACCTTCCTTTATCCTTTTAAAGGCAGAGATTTCTGAGAAAGAAGCTGCTATTAATCCAGGTGTGTAGAGTAGAGGGAACTTGAGGGAGAGGTGGGAGCTTTCAGCTAGGCGTTAGGCTGATCATTAATGAGCACCTAGAGGAGGAACTGCAGTAAAAAACTATCAGAAGCTGGCTGCCACACCTTGCATGTGTCCCTAGGAGTGCTATCCCTTTCTCTTATTATGTTGACATATAAATCCTTACCCTGTGGAACTCTGCCCTGTTAATCTAGTTGTCAATTAACTTGCATCAGTACCACCACTGGCAAACAGAGTTCCCAATTCAACTCTAAGACTTCACCTCTCTCATGGAGTTTTCAAGGTTGCAGATGATGATAATAATAGGTTGTTATGATGGTAACTTTGATCAGTACTTTGATTAGTAAGGAGTATACAGGCTGGTGTAAAACTGGAAAGCATTCACTGAATGCTAAATGCTCTTCCTAAAAACAAAATCCACTTTCTTAATGCATTAAATTTTCTCAGAAGTGGCCTCTTCATGGCTCTTAGATTATAACATTTAATTCTAAGTTCATTTTACATTTGGATCAATTTTTGTCATCTGAAAGGAAATAAGGATAACTGTCATATGTATATGCGTGTTTATACATTTCTCACACACACACATGGTCACGTCATTTATTTACCCTTCTATGTGCTGTCATACTGGACAACCTTGAGTATTCCAGACTAGTAACTGGGTATGGAAGGAGAGAGATTTATCACTCTTACATGAATGATTAATTTTAGACTTTGCCTAACCTTTCTTTATTTAGTTTTTTCCAGATAACCTAATTCCAAGTTAGATTAGAATCTTGGTTCCACTACATTATCTATGTATTTTTTGGCAAAATACTTAGTCTCTGTGACTTGGTTTCTTCATCTGTAAGATGGGAATAAAACCCCTCATGGGTTGTTGTGAAATACTTAAGTGTTCAACTAAAGATGCGGCAAACATAAAATGATGCAATGGGACATTCCTCGGCTGTTCAAATGCAGCTACACACAAAGAAAATATCAGAGCAATAAGAATCATATATTCACCTGTATGGAGAACTACATTTTTCTTTAAATGATACATTCATGTGCTAAAATAGAGTATGTTTATATAATTAATTAGTAAATTTCATTCCAAAACAATAATTAAAGATACTGGGAATAAGACAACTCATTTCTCTCCCTATGTATGTGCCATAAATGTTAATTTTAGTCACTAAGTGAGGCACTTTGCACATAACTAAAGTTTAACATCTTCTAAAATAACCAAGTAAAAATTCCCTGTTAAAAGACACACTCCAGAATTATACCAAACAAAAAAGGTCTTTTGGTGTTTAACCTTCCTTTCCTAATATGATGTCCAACAAATCCTTACTTCCAAATAATTTATTTCAAAAAATGGTGAGCCAACTTAGATCCAGACAGTTGAATTCACTATCATCTCCACGCTGAACTCTCCTAATCTCTCTGGTCGTGAGAGTGAACTGATATATTGTTGTTCATAACTTTTCAACCACTTCATCCTGCACTGACAACTATTCTTACCAGACAATCCCTAGAATCAACCCTTCACCTGTGTTTAGAACACAGAACTCTGTTCAGCTTTTTGTCCAGTGCTTCTTGTGGGCCACGTTCAAGCTACATCATGGCATGACTCCTCAGGGCACGATTACATAGGGTATAAGAGCTGGAACTGCAGCCACAGGAAGTCATAATAAATTCCCTACAACCTTATTTAAGGACAGGCAGTACAACCCCAGCCCGCACACCAATATTTTCCTGTATCCAGTCCCGTGGGTAAGGGCCACTGCCTGGAGTTTCAAAGTACTTATGGGTTATGACAGTGGAAGTTGTAAAGAATAAGGAATACCTCTTTTTGGTACCATAAGAACCTAGAGAATTGACATCCAACATCTGTTCTGTCCTCAGTAATTCATCAGGAGGATTGAGAAGAAATGTGTGGGTACTTCAATTTAAATATCTTTTAAAATTCAGCCAAATATGCCCTTTAGTGAATTCATCATTTTTCTTCCCAATACCCCCTGAATCTGCTGATGATACCGTTATTCCAGCATCTCCTCCCAACTCAAAATACTGAATGATTTAAAACTTATTCCTTTTCTTAACAATGTCATGGCCACCAGTTCCTAGAAACATCTCTCCTCCTTCTTCATATCACCATCTTGGTGTAAGCCTTCCTTCTGCTCATCTTAATGACTCAAGCAGTGGCTTCACTGGCCTCTCTGGCTGTATCTCTGTTTGCATCCTCACACATCCTGTGGAGTAATAAGCATCAGTAATCACATTTTATTAACATATTTGTCCTTACTGAACACAAAAGAAACCTACAAACTATACTCATAATCACCAGGGATTGATCAAAGCTCCTGAGAAAATAAAGTGCCTATGAAAATGTTTTTAAAAATAAGCATATAAATATCATTTTCAGTAATATGCTTTGTAACACAGCATATTGTTTCATGCCTAAAGTCTGTGCAATGGGACCACCTTATTGTTAACTAAATACTCAGCTTTTTTTTTTTTTGGTACTGGGGATTGAACCCAGTGGCACTGAACCACTGAGCCACATCTCTGGCCCTCTTTTGTATTTTATTTAGAGATGGGGTCTTATTGAGTTGCTTAGGGCCTTGTTAAGTTGCTGAGGCTGGCTTTGAACTCAAGATCCTCCTGCCTCACCCTTCCTAGCTGCTGGGATTATAGGCATGTGCACTGTGCCCAGCTCAGCTTAGGTTGTCTTTCAGGGAGGTATCAGATCTACTATTAAAAAAACCCCCAGATTCTGTTAGAGTATACTGATATAATACATGATAGATCTCAGGAAAAGAAAAGTATCTTTGGTAACATGAGCCTGAGTCCATATGTAGCTATTATCTTTATATTTTCATGTCTAAGGTGATCATAAGGTAGACTGGACTTGAAATACATCTAAATGGGGTAGGAACAGAAGAGGAATACCATAAGACTACTGTAGATGTTATACATAAATTTAGGCTCTCTTGATAGGATTAAAACCAAGGGCATCATTTCTGGACTTCTTTCATGTAACATTATTTTAGGTTTGTTTTCCTTATTTTTAGCTGGAAGTTACATGTGCCCACATGGTTGAATACAAAACAGCCAACTATAATTTAAAATTTGATAACATTTTGAAGAAATAAAATCCTGATTGCATAGTTCAATAGCTGTCACCTCCATGCTGAATCTCCTAATCTCTCTGGCCCGTGAGAGTGAACTGATGAGTGATGAGTGAACTGAAGCCTAAGCATAGGACAGGCAATCTAGCAAAACTCGACAAGTGCCTACAAGAAGCTGGAACATGGGCTGGGCTGGGGCTCAGTGGGGAGCACTTGCCTTGCAGGTGTGAGGCCCTGGGTTCCATCCTCAGCACCACATAAAAATAAATAAATAAAATAAAGGTATTATGTCCATCTACAACTAAAATAAAACATTAAAAAAAGAGAAGCTGGAGCATCAGACTGCCTTAGGACAAGGACCTTGTCTGCTCATCATATGGCAGGCAGATCTGCTAGGTGGAAAGGGGTTCCAAAATGGTCAGACAATACAATTTCCCTTTTTATTTAGTATAGATGAAGTATTTTTCCTCATCTGGTTTCATTTGTGCTAAGCAGTTGAAACTTTAGTTTACTGGAAGTGAACTTTAAAATAATAATTTTAAAATAATATTTTTAAAGGAAATATCAGATAATGGTTCTGTTTTTGTTTTGATTACATAGAAAAAACTTAAATATGTATCATCCATTAATTAAATAATCATATTATGGTGACAAGAGGTAAAGACAAAAGATTTAAGCAAAGAAAACCCATGGAAATTTTAAAAGTTCATCAATAGCTTAGTAATTCAGTGGTCTGCTTATGTCATGTATGTATAATTTATACATGGATCACAAATAATTTTAGATCATTTAAAATCTTGACCTTGTTCTAAGGTACATTTTATAAACCAATTTCTGAGAATAATCTATTATGTATTTGACATTTCTATCATATCTCAGAGGTGGCTATCATTTATTCAATGTGAAATGTAAAAGAACTACAAAACACCTTAAACTCTTTTTTTTGGCCTTTGTTACTCAAAGAAGCTTCCTTTTCTAGTGCACCTTTCTGACTCCATGCTTGTGCCTTCAACACTTTGGCAGCCATTTCTGGTTCCGTATGGAAAGCGGAAAGCGGAAAGCGTACCTGCTCCTGCCAGACACATTCAGCACACAAGGAGCCACTACAGGCCCTGCTGATGCTAGTTCCACAGTGGCTGTTGGGAGGGAAGGAGGAGAGCCCACCAAACTGTGTCAGCTGCTGGGCCCTCCCACTGCCCCTGGATGCTGTGCCCCGAGGAGGCAAGATACTTCACACTCTAGTAATTTTTCCTGATTTGGAAGTATTTCTAACTGTATTTGGAATTATTAATGATACAAATAACTCCTTAAATATATGCAACTTAATTTTGAAAAATTCAACAGAAAAATCTTGACCTCCAATGGTTGGATACCCAATGGTTACTGGTGAAGTACAATCCTTAATA